CTCATGGGGCTCGGCAGTAGAGCTGCAAGGCCGATGGCGGCCGGGACCGTTGGGGGCGGGGTGTGTGGCCTTATGACACACTTCCGGTGATGTCAGGGGGTGTGGCATATGCTAATGAGTCATGCTAATGAGTTCCCCTAGCTCTTTTTCTACAAAACGACCCCTGCAGTCCCATCCAAATACTAACCAGGGCCGACCCTGCTTAGCTTCTGAGATCTGATGAGATAGGGTTAGCCTGGGCTATCCCATTTACTGAGTTTTAAATTAACAAACGAATCAGCTCTTTGGTAGGTCTAATTGATGCAATGGTGCAGCAGCACAGGGGAAAAAAAACAAATCAAGCAGGAAGTGCCATCCCGTGCTTTAACTTCAGTCCAAATCATGAAGTGTTGCAGCGATTTCAAAGGGAAGACAAACTGGAACGGCAGTCGGCCATGTGATAAATTGAATGCCGTCACTGGAGACAGCACATTAGGGTTGTGTACAGCAAAACAGGCAAACTTTTTATGCCCCTGTGGAGTGAGGTCCGCCTCCCTTCCCCTTTTACTCTTCCAATGACACACATAACCAGCTTGAAGCAAACACTGATTTCTTTGACAGCTTTTTGTCCGCATGATCCTGGTGGACCAGCTGCCTTAAAATTATTTTTAGAATGTTCTTTGTGCCACCTTACATTTAAGCATTCAACACTGTGCGTTTTTGTTTGCTTGTTTGTTTGTTTACAACCTTTCGGCCTAGGGCTGAAGAATGAGTGGCCTGTAGGCCTCAAAGAAGCCTCTCTTCTATGCTTTGGTAAAATTCCCAGCATGCCTACAGTACCTAAGCACCCTCCAAGCCTTATGACTGGGCTGAGGCAAAATGGAGGGAAAAGCAGAACCAATCAATGTTGGGGAGGTAGAGTTTGGACAGAAAGCTTCCCTCCCTGAAGCTGAGCAGCTGTGAGGCTGCTTTTGGAGGGAAGTTGGTCCCTTGCCTCACAGTGAGGTGAGCAGGGGTCATTTCCTGCAGGAGCGCACAGGAGTGGAGCTCCAGCAGTAAAGAGCCCAGGGGGCGGGCACATACAACAAGCTCCGCCCCCTGCTCCCAGCAGCCCCGGGCCATGAGGAGCAAGAAGCAGCCAGGGAAGTTGCAGAGCCCCCCCTGATAGCAATCCAAAACAGTCCAGTGGCAGCTTTTAAGACCAAGTTTTATTCAGGTATAAGCTCTCCCTCCTCTGTGAGGGCAGATCTGTGCAAATCCCCCCCCCCCATAGCTAGCAATCCAAAACAGTCCAGTGGAGCCTGAGCAGTGGGTGTTGCCCTCTGACACACTTCCGGTGATGTCAGGGGGTGTGACATATGCAAATGAGTTATGCTAATGAGTTATGCTAATGAGCCCCTGCGCCTCTTTTTCTACGGAATTACCCCTGGAGGTGAGTCTTACCTATTGGAATTGGGAACTGACACAGAAGTAGGAACTAGGTAGGGCAGTTGCGTTAGGGAACTTTGTTGTTTTCCAGCCAGCTTCTTTTCTTTGTGAGCTTTGCCCTCTGTACTTGCACTGTGTGCCCCTGTATTAATTCTGTCCCATTTTTATAACTTTCCCCCTATTTACCTAACTTTTTGCATTTGTTTAATAAACCGCTTTTCTTCTACTCTGCATGGTTCCTTCACACCTCATATTTGGTCCTACCTCAGGGCACACCCTGACTTAAAAGGGTTTGTTTCCCTGAGGGCAGGGAAGCTGCTCTGGGCCCTCTCCAGTAGCGCCCTACAAACCAGAGTGCTGGCAACCAGTTAAGGGCCTCCCCTGCTCCAGAGCTGAAGGGGACAGGAGGAAAGAAAGGGGTGTGTGGGGAAGGGGAGAATCATCCGTGGTAAATCCAGCATGGCTCCACCCAGGGCTTTTTTGGAAAAAGAGGAGCCGGAACTCTCAGGAGGGAAATGAAGTTGTCAGTCTGTATGTTGAAAACTCATGAACTTTTAAACATTTTTAAAAGAATGTTGTCGAAGAGGTTCTAGAACTCCATTATGGCTAGGGTTGCCAAATGTTTTTTGGCCAGGAGCGGGGGGGCAGCCATTTGAAAACTCTTTGTTTTCCCCTCAAATGGCGTGGCCCCGCCCCCAACGTCACTTCCGGGTGACGCGCACACGGGGGTGGGATTTCCCCCGGGCCCCGATTCCGCAGGAGCGGAAATCGGGGCTCGAAAGCGGGGGGGAATTCCGCCCCCCGGGGGCATTTGGCAGCCCTAATTATGGCACATCCCCCCAGAAAATAAGCCCTGGCTCCACCCCTTTCCAGGACACCTATTAATTACTTTTTAGGCTGAAAAACTGCTCCTGGGAGGGTGGTGCTTTGAGACTGTTTAGGTGCTTGGCCAATTAGTGTTTCTTCAAGTCCCTTTCTAGATCCGACTGGCGGAGCTTGTTCCCATAGAGCAGAAAAAACCTGTACGTGCGAGCAAAATGTGCTAAATATACTTCCTAGAGCCAAGTGGCTTCTATTTTTATGTACCTTTGGCCTCTCCGTAAGTACACCATGTATTATTGCTGCTGTACTGAACATGATGGGAGAGAGTCAGGAGCAGGGCAAAACAACAAGTGACACATTGCTACTGACTAGGTGAAATGAGCGCGCACAGAGCGAATGGTGAGTAACAGCAACAAAACATATCCCAATAATCTAAATTAAGTACTCAGCTGGAATAAGTCAAATGTTGAAATGCCCTTGTGGAACCTGTTTATCAGAGATTTTGTAGATTTGTGTGTGTGTGTGTGTGTGCGGTGAAAACAATTAGATAGAAACCTTAAATGGGAGCTTGGTGTTTTGGATCCCTTTGCAAACGGTCAGATTCAGGGACACGTTTTGCAATTGTTTCTGCCCTTTCTTAGAGCATTAGACACTTGAGGCCCTTTTCAAAATAGGAGACTGACAGTATGTTCTACAAAAGCATCACTCTTTTCTAAATAAGTAGACGCTGCAAAGTGCAGCAGAGAGACCCGGATCCCATCAATGCACTGCGATTCTGGACCTTACCATAGTGATCTGAGGCTGTGATCTGAGAGTCGGCAATGGTCCCAGACGCTAGGCCCAGAGGAATTTGACACCCTGAAAACAAAAGTTGGGAGAACATATATTTTACTGGGCAGTGGGTTTTCCCCGGAGCTTCAAGCATCATTGGAGAAGCTTGCAACAGACGATGCACTGTATTTTCAATTCACCCTTAGCATTTGAATTGTCTGGCGCAGCTACAATTGGTGACCTTTGTAGGCCAGCGGCAGAGAATCATATCTTTGGGAGGAAATGGATGCTGGCTTATTGACCCACTGGTGGTGGCGGCAGAAAGTGCGTTAAGTCACAGATGACCTATGGCGACCTCATGGGGTTTTCAAGGCAACAGACATTCAGAAGTGGTTTGCCACTGCCCGCCTCTGCGTTGCGACCCTGTACTTCCTTGGTAGTCTCCCATCCAAGTGCTAACCAGGGCCGACCCAGCTTAGGTTCAGGCAGGGGTCATTTCTTGCAGGAGCGCACAGGAGCGGAGCTCTGGCAGTAAAGAGCCCAGGGGGCGGGCACATGCAACAAGCCCCACCCCCTGCTCCCAGCAGCCCTCAGTCAGAGCAAGAAGCAGCCAGGTAAGCTGCAGAGCTCCCCCCCCCCGAGCCCCCGGTCCAAATCAGTCCAGTGGCACCTTTAAGAACTTTTTCTACAAAATGACCCCTGGGTTCAGGATACCCAGCCTGTGAACTCCATCTTGTGGAAACTGGCCCTAAGTTTCCATTGCCCTTTCATCCAAAGAAAGCTAGCACAGCCTCCAGAACATCTCGTATGGAGTACATCGCAGTCTGATTGTCACCTTTTTAGCGGACGGAGGCTCTGTGCCTTTATTAGTTGCATCTTAGACATAAATGAACAGCCAGATATTTTCCCCATCTCTGAAGTGCAACAAATGGAGAAAGTTTGGACATTGCTTTCAGCCAACAGTGCTACTGTTAGAGTTGCACAGAGCCGGGGTGGGGGTGGTGGAAGGTGTCAACCTTTGAGGACTGACATGCTGAGCTACTCACTCTGGTCGTACACCAGGAAGAGGGCGCTCATCCCAGCCTGCTCATGCTCACTGACCTCACATTCCACCCGCCAAATCCCAGTGTGGGATGGGTGCATTTCCACAGTCGCAAAAGCACCTGCAGCAAGGAAGAGAAGAGAGACTCATTTTAGGTTGCTTGGGACTGGAGTACAAAATTCCTGGAGTTCCAATCACCCAGAGCCCCATAAAGCCAAGCAAACCATGTGATTCATTTTCATATGATGTTCGGATTGGATGTGGATGGTATATATAGGAAGAAGAAGAAGAGAAGAGATTGGATTTATACCCTGCCCTTCACTACCCAAGGGAGTCTCAGAGCGGCTTACAAACTCCTTTTCCCTTCCCCTCCCCACAACAGACACCCTGTGAGGCAGGTGGGGCTGAGAGAGCTCTTTCCAGAACTGCCCTTTCAAGGACAGCTCTGACAGAACTACGGCTTGCCCAAGGTCACCCAGCAGCTGCAAGTGGAGGAGTGGGGAACCAAACTCGGTTCTCCCAGATTAGAGTCCACGCATTTAACCACGTCACCAAACTGGCTCTCTAGGGGCCTAGAGAGAATCTTTGTTAGGGGAGGGGGCATGTTGGCTCTTAGCAGCTTTGATTTTCAAATCTTGATTGTTATTTTATAAGTTCTAGCACTGAGGCCAGGCATGGGATGGGGGAGAAGCAGATTTAGTGGCTCAGCCTACAGGAAGGGCCTGGTTCCTTTCTCCCATCAGCAATGAAGGTGGCTTTAGGGAAGTCCCTGTTCTCTTTGCCTTCCATCTGTAATATGAAGAACAAGGGGCGGGACCTGCGATACTCGCGGGAGGGGGGGAGGGAGCTCCACACCTATCAGGAAGAGGAGGAAGCAGGAGGAGGAGGTAAGTTTCCCCCCATCCCGCCGGTCC